CCCCCCCCCAAAAAAAAAACCCGCTTATTTTGCGTTTCGTTCGTGTAGCCAGGTATCCCGAGCTGGAGCTCTAATTTTTAAGGGCCTTGACAGACGAGATGTAAAAATCGCAGCAGGAATTACTGCACAGTCTGGTGATACACTGTAGACAATGGGAGCAGTCACACGAGCGACAGGCTTTATTTTCAGTCCATGCTTATACGGGGTGCCCACTACGGCTGGATTGGGCCGATCACCCGACTCGATCGCCTGAAACTGAAAACAAACAGGTTTTTTTTAAAGGCTATCGAGTCGGGCGATCGGGCCGATCGGCCGATCCCATCCGTAGTCGGCACCCCGTATTAGCAGACGTGTGTTACCCACATTCTGCTACGCCGCGACACACCAGCGTTTTGGTGAAGCACTCAGTTCAAGGGACGCGGACACACGATAGGTATCAATTTACTGCGTCGTTTTCCTACAATAATTGTGTTTTTTTCTCGCTTCTCATTCAACCCGACAATATTCCCAATTCCCACCATGACCAAAGCCACCCGGACTCTCCGATCGTCCATATTTAAGTGAGCAGTGGCGTTAAATGTCCCCCCGAGTGGCTGCAACACAAAAGTAAGCGACACTTTCAGCGTAGAATTTACTGCGCGGTAATTGTAGCAAATCTATCAAGGCCCTAATAGAGACTTTTTGAATGACCACCGACCCGAGCTAAAGGCACAACCATTTGAAAAAAAGTTGGGAGAGGTGATTATTGTGAATGGTGACTAGACATACTAGACATTTTCCTATTGGACTAATGAATTATTTTATTGACTATCTATACATGTTTATTGTTTCATTTGCTACTTCATTTCTTGTTTTAATTTACTTTCAAAACATATTATTATTTCCTTATATTGAGAATCTCGGTCTTTCTGTTGGGAATCTGTACCCCTCCCAGCTTGGGTTGGCCCTGACTGGCAGGACCGAAGCCTGCCTCCTAATTCTCTAAATTTTATCGATGTGGTGTAAAAAAACCAATTACATTTAAAAAAGGAATGTATTTCCTTTAATTCTCCCTTAAGTCAAGAGTCCACAGTACTGAACAAATCGTATATCCTTTGTTCTTAACATAATAATATTATAACACTTTTTTTTTAATTTCCTCGGAGTAAGGTTCTTAATTGTCCATGTTCGAGTGAGCGGAATCGTATGAATTGGGAGGCACCGACATTTGTCAACACTCAAGTCAAAGTTAGAGAATACACCAATAAAGATTCAAACCAAAGTCATCCGCTCTTCAGTAAAGGGTTTGATCAACTGAGCTGACGACGATGTTAACGACGCGAATTTCCTGTCTGCATCTTTTGATGTATTTTGAAGTGTAGTGAATACACCCGGGAATAATTTTGTCGTCTTTCTGCTCTCATTTTGTTTTTATTGCATTCCATTTGAGGCTTTGCGAAAGAGAAAATTAAATTTTTTTTTAGACAAATTGGCCAATGAGACTCGGACATGAAAGCACGTGAAATTATGAACGTATTGTATTCAGCGCTAGATATTCTACTGCTTAGAAACTTTGAAGGATATCTATTTAGTTTTATTTGTTTGTCCATCACAGATTTTCTTGTCGTCGTGCCATAGTATGATGCCGCCATGACATTTCTCTAGAAAGAAGGAAACACAAAAAAAGCATTTTGGAAATGAATCATGCTAAGCTGTATACAAATGCAAAGGCATATACACAGACACTTACAAAAACACCCACCCACCCACACACACACACACACACACACACACACACACACACACACACACACACACATACACATACACATACACATACACATACACTCACACACACGCACACAAGGTCGCGTGCATTATGTTTGAATGAAAAAAATAGTAGCAAACCGGGGCAAAACGACTTTTCGGAAAATTTGACATGAATGCAAACATTTTTTTCTTACATTTAGCTTGGTATCGACATTTCAGTATTCAGCTAATAATATTATACGAGTATAATTGAGGCTAGACAGTTTGACCCAAACTATACCTTAAAACGATTTTCTCAATTAAAAAAAAAAAAAATATTATGATTGTGTCAGATACTAGGTTTTATTGACTGAAAGTCCACAAATCTAGGCGAAGTACTCTGTCTTTTCCGGAAGGAACAATGTGGAGCGCTGTCTTGAATATCAGAACAGGTAAATCATTGCCCTTCTTATACAATGATTACACCGCCATTGGGTCTATACCAGTATTCTTGTATACACCCCCGCATTCGATTTTTCCGCAACCTTTCATGTTGTGGCAAAATGCTTACAGCCTAGATACTACCCCCCCCCCCCCCCCCCCCCCACACACACACACAATAAAGATCTGCATTCTATCTTCCTCTTGTCTGTGGCTTTTTCCTCCTCAACCAAGTAAAATAATTCACTTATTGTTGGCTAACCTTTGCAGAAATGTCACATGCACCTTTTTTTCTTTTTTTTTTCGTTTTGCTTTCTTGAAGGAGTAGTCTGTTCCTTCTGCTAGCGAGACAACATTACGACATTCCTTTTGTCAAGCTGTTGTAAAAACTGTTGGTTAAGTTATGGAGTGTGGCATCATAGTGAAATCTGGCGCTCGTCGAAATAATGAAATAATTGAAGAAACCGGCATGTTTCCTCCGATTTGGCAATTTTATCGATTTTTTTAGCTTAACGCCTTTTATTTACATTTAAAAACATATTAATGTGTAGAGTTACAAAAACCTTAGTTCATTAAAGACACAAAAATGGCGCTCATAATATGACCTTATGCAGTTGTGAGCGTCGTAAAACCTCTATTAAAGCAAAAAAGACACAAAAAATGTAATTTTCAATTTCCAGGGACTCTCAAGCTATGGAAATCACCAAACTTTGACGGCCATTACCTCGGTAGTTTTTATATATGAAACTAGACAACTCCCATCTACTTCAATTGCAAATAGCTCGGGTACTATTCAAAATAAATAGGTATTTTCCCCCAAAAGCAAGACAATAAATGGAGAAACTTTTAAGATGATACCAATTATAACTTCACATTCCCAAAAATTGATGAGCTCTTGATTCCATTGAGTGGTGACACATTTAAAATTAGTGTATCCGTGTAGATGTGTTTTTCCTAAGTTTTGGGGGTGGGGGATTGGGGGGGGGAGTGAGTGAGTAAGTGAGTGAGTGAGTGAGTGAGTGAGTGAGTGAGGTGTTTGTTGGGTGGGGGGGGGTTGAGGAAGGGAGTTCAGAAAGGAAGTGTCATGTGGCAAAGGAGTCCAGTAGCACTGAGGAGAGCATGAAAGTCAACCAGGGGCCGCGTTAGTTGTTAGGTGGTTCAAGTTGCTTCGTATCGACGTCAGGTCTCCCGTTTTCCTTCATCCTTCTTCCGCCTTCTCAGCGCGTTTAACATCATTGGCTGTTGTCATCATTGTTGTTGTCATTGTTATGTTGCTATCATTACCATTACCATCATTGTTGAAAGGTCATAATTTTGTCATGATTTCACTTCGGGATCATGTTCGAGTATAATGTGACACACACACACGAGCACTTATCTATAGAAATAAATGACCTTGTGTAAAACGTACCTTCTTTACCATCTTCAATGGGCGAGTAGCTAATGAATTCAGGCTCCTAGTAAAGTCATGTCAAGAGTAGGCAGTGACACGGCGTTTAGGTGGTGGTCACTGCGATGTGCATTGAGCAAAACAAGATAACCGTAGCTTTAAAAAAAACAGAGCTCTACAACCAGCAAAGGCGTATTTGTACTATTGTCTTATAGGTGTGACAGATTATAGATTGTATGTATTGTAAAATTTCCCCATGGAGATCAATGAAAGTGTTGTTTAATTTGCCATTGTTGTTGGTGGTGGGGGGGTTTTGTTGTTTGTTTGTTTTTATTTGCTGTTGTTAGATTGGTTTTTGTTTGTGTTTTTGTTGTTGTTGTTGTTTTGTTTTTGTCGTTTTTGTTGTCTTTTATTGTTGCTTCTGTCTTCCTTCCTGTTTACTGATGTCACTGGGTCAAGTGTTTGGTATTTAAATGTCTTAGTTGTGTCTCGTGGCACATGAAAGGCATTACGAGCAAAAACAAATCGCAGTTATTTACCCGACACTCCTATTGACATTCTCTGTATCTCTATTTCTCCTCAGGATTTGGCATGACCACGCCACGAACTCCGGCTGGCAAAGTTGTCCTCATCTTCTACGGCTTCTTCGGCTGCGCAGGCGCCATCCTATTTTTCAACCTCTTCCTTGAGCGCATCATCACCTTCCTGGCGTACATCCTGCGAGCCATTCACGAGCGGGGCCAACGGAAGAAGGGGTTGATGGGAAGGCGGCGCTCCAGCCAGGGATCGGAGGACGAGCAGCTGGACTCGTGGAAACCATCCGTGTACTGGGTCATGCTGATACTGCTGCTGGGAGCCACTGTGGTGGCGGTGATTGCCTCTGGGATGTACCATCCTGTGGAAGATTGGACGTACTGGGAAGCCATGTACTTCTGCTTCGTGGCTTTTTCCACTATCGGGTTCGGGGATTACGTCGTGTCCCAGCAAGCCGAGTACCCTAATGTGGTGCTGTACCGGCTGGGGAACTTCATCTTCATCGTGCTCGGCTGTTGTTGCATCTATAGTCTCTTCAACGTCACTTCCATCGTCATCAAGCAGATGCTCAACTGGATGCTCAGGAAACTCAACTGCGAGTGCAGAATACGAAAGCCGCCCATGACGAGGAGGAATGCAATCACCCCGGGACATTTGCAAAGGGGCGGGACTATGTCGACAGCAGGGGCGGCGCCAGCTGGTTCGGCGACAGGGGGCGGGGCCACTAAAGCTCCCACGGTGACTGTGACCGACGCGGATGGCGACAGCGATTCGGAGTACAGGCGGAACTCTGGAGAGATGATCTCTATGAAGGATTTCTTGCAGGCCAACAAGATCAGCTTGGCCATGATGCAGAAACAGTTGTGGGAGACCTCACAGCGGGGCAGCTCCTTCCACAACAACAACAGCGGCTTCCAGGGCGGCGTGGGCCCCCTCGCCATTCTCAACCGCAAGCTGGGTCAGGATGAGTATGACCCCAACATGTGATAACATACAGTTTCCTTTCATTTTGTCAGCCCAGCTACACACTTCGAAACTTCCACCACAATTACGCTTTATTTTTTTTTCTTTTCTATTTGTCTCTTCGCAACTTGCTCCTGTTATTTTCGTATAAAAGTTTTAACTGAAAGTACTTCATACATGTTATAGCTGAGTATAAATCTTTTATGAATCACGCTGGACATCTACAGATGATTCAATATTCGTTGTGGATGCAAACCTACGGTTAATGTAAATGTGTGCGTTGCTTGAGGGGATTATTCAAACACAGTCGACGACTTCATCTTTCCAGCACCATTGCTATTTCAATCTATCAGAAATTGCTTCTGGGTGTCAAAACTGGCCTGTCTTCTGCCTGTCGGACTTCCAGAGCAGTCTTGTGGACAACCGTCGCTGTTTGCCTTATGAAGAATCATCGACAGATCTTGCCCCTGCTGATCAATCACAACTCGATGCTCCAGTGGATGACACTCCGTACATTTTCTCAAACCGCCGAAGTGCTGATGGTGGGTGCGAACGCTAAATTAACAGCAACACTTTATGTGACGTCATTAACGCTTTCGGCGTCACTAATTCGTTTGAGCGCTGCTTCTGTCCTCTCTTCGCTTTGCACAAATAGCTGAATATAGAACAGCTGCCATGAGCTTCATGCATAATGAATCATCCGGACAATTTCTTCTCCTTTAGGACTCGACTTCGTGTTACGCTGAGCACATCGATATGGCAACTTGCTCGCGCGCAGTAAAGCTAGATGTTCACTGGCGTAATCCGCACGGCTTACGAACTTAAAAAACTGTTCTAGCAAACCTCTCACACCTGAGAATATACATTTCCATGCTTTTCTCTCTTTTTTATAATTCTATTGAAAAAGCAAAAAAAAAATGAATTGCTCCAAAAGAAGCGATTGTTTGTAGTAGACGGTTAAAAACCGAAGATTTTCCTTGCCTGGACTATCAGAAACATTCTCATAAAGCAATTGCCGAGGACTTTTCGATGGGTAGAGAATTGTACTGACATAGCTCAAGATACGATACCTTTAAACTGAAAACCGTGTAATAGTACACAACACAAAGTGCGCCTTGTAGCACAACGGCAAGCTTGCAGCTATTCAAGTAACTGACTGATGATTTATGGGGAAAGTGTTGTATAACAAAAACATGGTAAAGAAGCAAATCTTTTTGTTTTGTTCACTTGAAATGGATTCTTCTTTTTTAGGAGATGAAAATGCATTGCTCCACTACTCTCGATATTACATAAGTTTATACGCTTTCCCAACAAATCTGTGACAACGGAGAACCTCGAACTCTTTATGCAGCTTAACTAATCCTGCCGTCTTTCCAGTGAGCACTGTTTGTTCTAGCCGTTTCAGAACTGTCCCTTTCTCCTCCGTTCTGGAGACACTTTTCTTCTCAAAAGACACAGCTGTGTACAGGACAACGTATTTTCACCTTTAGACACAAACATTTTCTGGAGGCCGCGTTATAACAACGTTTAAATCTAGGTGTGTGCGTGCTCGTTGATTTGCGTGTATCTGAGAAGCAGTAGAAGAACCGAACCTTGTTTTCCTCAATACAAATTCCGGACACAGGAAACAGGACCCTGCACAGACAGTTTGCATTGGAAGAAAATGTACCAATGACCAACATTCTCCATTCATGTGTGATTGAAGAAGTGACTGATATTCAGTCCGCGGGTGATGCACGGAAGTGTAATTTTTTGTTCGCGTGTAAACGTTGAGGTTTTGAAATTAGGACAAAAGGAAGAATGGCCGTTCTCATTGTTTTGCGTATTATTTTTTTTCGTGAAGAAATGCAACATTTACTCTGAGTGTATTTTAAAAAACCACCTTAACCTTATCAACTGATGCAATATTCTTAACTGATCAAGTCAACCTGACGCGGATGGGGAGGATCTGATTCCCTGCCTTTCCTCTTCGTTGAGAGGACTTGTTAAGCTAATGATGATATGATATCATAAATAATGTGTGTGCATGCTGCTGCCAGTTGAGTCACGGCCACAATGGGGAGAAAGAAATCGTTCCATTGACTTTTGAGTTGATGAAAATGAGAAGTCTTTCTGCACTTTCACTGCAAAAGGTTGAAGCTTAAAAAATGAATAAGAAGTCGTTATTGCAAGTGTCTGTTAGCGTGTTAGTAACAGACCCTGACTGATAACAATAACATGGGTTCCACGGTTGTTTGTTTTTGTCGTCTTTTTTATTTAAAGAGTTCAATGTGTTTGAGAGAGGAAAAATATTTTACAATCAGTGTTTTCCCGAAATCTATTTACCACACTCAAAAAATAGCATGGGCTACCTTTGGTACGAATAGAAAATGATAAAATAAACATGTTTAGAGAAGTAAACATGAACAGCGAATTAATAATATGATATTCAAAAATTTCAGAACAATATAAATATGAAACCAGTTTGATCAAACCAGATGTAACTTTTCCTAGGAACGCTTTACTTTTGGGTTGCTTTTTGTTTATTTTTTACTTGTGGGGAGGGGGGGGGTGGAAGGACTTTAGCCACTACAGAATTGTGTTTCTCAATCGAACATATAAAATAAACACGCAAATAAAGCAAAGCTGTGGAGAAGACGGAACCGTAAAAAGGATTTAGCGGGGGGGGGGGGGGGGGGGGGGCTTTTTTGCGAAAATTTTTTTCCCTGGGGGGGGGGGGGGGGGGGGAAAGCTTTTTCCCCACCCCCAAATTTGTTTTTCCCACCCGACATTTAAAAAAAACCCGCAAAAATAACAAACCCTTGGGGGGGAAGGGCGCTTTAAAAAACTTTTCCGGGGGGGGGGGGGGGGGGGGCTTGGTGGGAGAGTTTTAATGAACAAAGAGAAAAGTGAACGGAAAGCTACTTTATGTTCCCCTTGAGACTAATGTTAAACGGGTCGCATTGTTTTAGTCATTGTGAGCATTCGATGAGACTATTTGTTGGAGGTCCTTGTTGAGTTGGGGTTGGTTTGTTTTTGTGAGGTGGTTTTGTTGGGGGGGGGAGGGGTTGTTGTTGTTGTTTTTTGTATTATTTTTATTTTGCATTGTTTTGTTGGTTAGGGGAGTGAAACACGGACATTTTATAAATCCTTTTTACACGGACATTGCTGGCCTATAAACGCGTGTCCTTTTTACTTTTAGTTAGATACGCGCTGATTTGCCTCTTTTTTTATTATTTAGTTACCAACATGCACTAGCGTATAATGATGATAAAAGAAGCATACAGAACTATCAACTGATTTCCCTTTCTGTTACTAAATGTTACCTTAAGACCGGACACAGTACTAAGAAGCAATCTTAAATTAAAACAAAAGAAAGAACGTAGGAGAATGTGAGTGAAAGAAGCAAGAAGAAGAAGAAGAAAGGTTCCAATTGTATTCACCTCCAAACGTCAGCTTATAGGGGGGAAAGACGGGAATTTATAATAACTTAATTAAGACAGAGAAAATGTTACACTTGCAGAGTTTCGGCATCAAAACAGTTAACATTCCGGAAGCCTTCGATGCTAAGAACTATACTAATTATAATTATTATTGACACCCGACGGATAAGACAGAATGGAAGAGACATTGGGCGGTGGGGCAAATGGGCGTGCAAAGCAGGGGCGGTGGGGTGGTCCTGGTCGTCATTAGGCAGCCATGAAGCCAACGACAGAAAGCGTGATCGTGTATGATAATATTGCATGAGAATCTGAACTAGATTGCAACAGTTAATGTTTAGGCTCTTACTATAATTAATGAACAATGATGCCCTACCTCTAGAAACATGTCATAAATATTTCTTCCATTTTTGTAGGATATTTGTTGGGTTTTTTAAGCTTTGGCGTGTTCGAAATCCAGGGAGCTGTGCCGAACAGTGATAGAGACTGGATTTAATCAACAAAATGGACTTGAGTATGGAACCAATCTTGATATCACCAGACTGAAATGTAAGCGAAAAGAGGATACGTTCCCAAAGGGAAAAGTTTGAGATATTCGTGTTACTGTTTGAACCTGCTTTCTCGGTCGGGACATGAATGTTTCACGGCTCGAGCACAGTGGACATACGATCGTGGTGTTATTAAAACAACTCGCACATAAAATATTTGTGGGTGCCATGAAAGAGTAAAGCCAGTCATCTGAATAGCCGAATTTCAGTCACGTTCTTGAGGCCTTGAAAATAGTGTAGCCCTCGGGGTGTCTAAACATTATTGATATAAAGTGGAGTTTGGATTATCCAGAATACAAGGGATATAGGGATTGTGTGGACGGTGGCGAGGGGTAATTTTATTTTCAAAGAAAGTTTGGAGAAGCGAGTTGAAACAAGCAGGAAGAGAAGAATATGCTATGGCATATCGCGCTTATGTAATGGCAGGGCTCTGGCTCCACTTTTTTTTACGAGAACTGAGAAACACACTACACATTATTGACACAGATGCCGTGCACACTGTGTCAAAGGCTCGTTATAATCTGACACGTATGTTTGTACTTCAACCAACAAATAATATAGAGTAAAAACATTTTAGCTATAGGAGGGAATTTTCAATCCCATTTTCTCAAAAGTATGCGTCATGGAGTAAGAACCCTGTTATTATAAGGGCCCAATATGTATGTCGTGAGTTGGCTTGCTTTTATTCTTTAAAATAATGCTCTCACGGTTAAATACACGATAATGTTACTGTTTCTAAGTTGTTCTCGAATGTATTCCAACAGCCTAGTAATTGAAGACCCTGCACAGAATTTGGTTTGCCGAATATCGTAATTAAACGCCAGAAACAGTTATATGCCCCAAAGCCTGGTGAGTACGAACATAATGTTATGATAATGTATAAAGTTTGGTCTCTTTCAACTGAAGCATCCAAAGAGGGAGATACTTTGCTACATAAATAGCATCAAAAATACACTGAAATATGCATTGAAAATGATGATCTCTATAATATGCAACTAACAAAAACAGTGTGGTTTCCCTTATGAATAATTCCTTTTCATTTTCATACTTATCATGC